TACGTATGCATGTATTTTTGTAGAATGCTATAAAAATGAGAAAATGATAGGAATTTGTTATATCGTTGAAGGGTTAATCGATTAATTTGCACTTGCAACCATTTTTTTTTTTGCTTAATTGTACTTCAAAATAATTATTATTTAATTGATCGATACTTAATCATCATTATTTAATGTTGAAACTATTAATTCAATGAGACATGGTTAAAAAATAACGATATCGATCTCACTCTCGCGTTAGAGGAATTTATTGCGATGTTATAAATACTTCAGTTTCCTTCAAATTTCATGAAACTACAGAAGACGTGAACGATGAAAAAATATAAATCGAATTCTTGGAACTTCCTTTGATGATCCAAATAGTGACAAATAAAATTTGATGATATAATTATCATTGGCAATGAAATGTCACGTTAGAATAATTTTTAACTAAAATAGCTCGACTCGATTGAGTTTATTCCATTATTAATTGTAACATAAATTATGTCATCAATAAGGAACGATGGTAGGGAAAGTTTTTTTCAAATTTTTCTCTAAAAGTGAATATTCGAAAAGATGGATAGATAAGAATAATTGCAAAACTGGTTTTAACGGAATTTAAGTTATTAATTTAAGTTGTACCTTATTTTTCAATGCTTTTACATTTTCACAATTGAATTGTTCAGTATATTTGTTTTTTAACACGATCGTTCTTCTCTCAGCTGATCCTCTTCATTGGTACAAGTATGCGCTTATTAAAGATTGATCATTTTGCGAAATTTTGTTAGAAGATTTATAAATGTTCTACTATTATATATTCAGAACAGCTGGCAAATCGGTTCATGTTTCTTTGTATTATTATTATTATAATGAGACGTTAGGGAAAAATTTAAGAAGAAAAACTTAACATTCGTTGTACTGAGCACCTCTTTCGTTTGACTTTAATCCACTTAACTGTAATGCCTTTGGTAGAATCAAGCATACTTGCATCTTTCTGTTTTGCCGAACGATCTTAATCACGACTTGTATTCAAATAGTAATGGCAATAATCTTTATAACTTTATAAGAGATGTGAGGAAACGTTTAAAATGCTATTCAAAGTAAAATGTTCTCATGGTTGTGATAAATTGAATTTCTCTTGAATTAGAAGATCAAAATATCTTGTTAAAGGGTAAAAGCATTAACTTAGCTTTTAAAGCATAAAAGATGCTTCTGTCAATTTGAAATATTAATTTCTAGTAAAATTACACTGATGTTCATTCAATTATATATGTTGATTCGAATGTTTAAGCAATGAGTCATCTCAGTCACTACACCATTCGCATTTTAACGTTAAAATTTAGCAAATTGACGAAATCACGAATTCGTCAAATATATTCTTTCATCTCTATAGAATTATACGCGGCAAACAGAATTACGTACGATAATTCTGACATAACACTGCAACGAATGAAATCAAGCTTTATTTCGTCGAGAAAGTTCCGTGATAACGCGAACGTAGTCTTTGTGCAATTAGGTATTATTCCGCGTTGTCGTCGGAAATGTTTTCAAATTGAAAGCAACGAAGCTGGTTTTACATTGGGATTTCACATACGTGGCTGTACAAATGGTACAGTTGCTTTTTTTCAAATTCATATTCCGTTACATTTTTCCCCGCAGTAACAATTTACGTTTAATTAAACGCGGCTCTTGTTACACGAGGGATTAAAATCAGACGTTTGTTTTTCGCAGGGTGCAATCGCACAGTCAGGAACTCTGTTGGATGGATACGATGGACAGGACGTATGGGACGATGCATTATTCGCATCAGAGCACCTCCTAGAGATCCTCAGGTCGATCAAAGTTGTCTTATTAACAATTGAGAATTAAATTACTTTAATTAGATAGGTAAATCGCGAGTCAATTGCCACGAACAATTTCGACAGGCATTTTTAATCACAAAAATTCACTATGTACGTTTGTCGCGTTTGTCATGATTTCTATTTGTAAATTAAATCTATATTCTCGATATAAGCTTTAAGATCTTAAATTTTAAGATAATCCAATTAATTTACCTTGTAAACGATCAGATCTTTTACTAATTAATTAAAATCCGTATTAAACACGTATTCAATATGTAAATAATTTTCGCGCCGAACTTCATTCGCCAATAATATTTCGAAGATGCTGCGAAAACAGCCCGATAAAACAATTTGGTCCAATGCAGGTGATCGAGTTAAAAGTTAGGAGGCTGCAAGTTGGCTTCCTGAAAGAAACCAGATGCGAGGGTGCTTATATTCAATTTTCTGATGGCGGCGACGATCTCGAGGATGAAGCAGGACGTTACTGCGGCTATGTGAGTGGCAACACAACCAGGTACGATACACATTATTCCGTGTAACCAAAATCGATATCGCAACTGTGTCCAATCTTCTCTTGCAATGTATTTACATTTTCAATTCAATCGTTATGTTGTACCAGAGAAGCTGATTATGCCAATACTTTTAATTCATCGCTCTACGTCATACAGATCGTTATGGAATCGTTGTGCAACGAGTGTCTCTTGTCGTCAATCAGTTGTTATATTCTATTATAATTACACGGGCAGATTTACGTAATTGCTTTGTCGATACACTTTGCATACACACGATTTTATATCATTTCCTATTCTACTCGTTGTGCTTGAATAATCTGATATCGAAGAAATCTGGATTTGCACAGAACTTAGC